AAGATTACAAAACAATCTGTTCATCCTACTTTTTCTCCATACTCACTTTACAGTACAGGTGAATCGAGTAGAAAGCTTCATAATGGCAGTGAGGGCATAACCTCGTGTCACAGAGACGGACATATTAGAGATTAAGACACTTTCTAAAATATCCAACACTTCATCTTCTGTTACCTGAAAAGAAAAAAAAAGACAATGTACAATGAAATGTAAAAGTAAATATCTAAATTTGATATCAAGTCACAGGATGCCACCAGAAAGACAATCCTACCATCACTACCAAAGCTTCTAACACAATCTGTTCTTTGCCAGGATAACTGTCCAAACTGATCCATCAACCAGAAGCAGGTGGAAGGTATGTTTAAAAAAAAAAAGTGGAAAATACACAATGGGGGCTGAGAGGCATATTTAGCTGCAAGAGGCAGAAGTAGAGGAAGGGAAAAAAGTTACATAGAGTTCAAGTACTGTTGCCACAACTACTCCTAAAAGCCAGTCCTTTAATGAGCAAATGGAAATATGGCTATAGGTCTCATTTCTTCTTGTTTAAATCAACCAGAGAGTAAGAGAAACAATGTAATTCCCTCTGACAAAGTGGGGAGTGGATCCCAAGGTGGTTTTTAAAGTCTCAAAATGGCTCAATAAGTTCCACTTCAAAAACTGACAGGTTTCCCAATATAATTCCGGTATTATTTCTTTTAAAAGTTTTTAAGAAATCAACCACAACTCCTCACTAAACACAGCCCGCTTATGACCGAAATCACTCTTTTCCCCATCTTTGACCAAGAGGAATAAGGGCTACCTGAATAGGCTCTTCCTCTTCACATTGGCCAGATATGAGAAGATCTCCATATTCACCTATACACCATGCAGCTACTTGTACCAAAGGTTGCTGTCAAAACAAAGTCACTGTTTGTCAAAGATTTTAATCCTGACAGAGTAATGCAAATCATAGGTCATCTCATCATAAACATCAAAACTGAGATACATCTAAGTGTTAGTAATAAGAATATACAAGAAAAATAAAGTGTAATTTCCTCCCAAAGCAGAAAAAAAAAGGCAAATGAAGTACTTACTTGAGAATAATCACCAAGAATTGCTTTGTATAAGCGCTGGACAGTATAGGCATGCATCTCCACACTATTGGTTATTAACTGGATCAAGTTGGGAACTGCATCATCACGAACATAACTTCCTGCCTAAAAGGAAATGCAGACAGTTACCCCTAGAAACACACAATGATGATAAACGTCAGCTATTATTATCGCTGTTAAAAGGAGACTACTAAAAAAAACAAACCCTTCAAAGATAAAGTTGATTCCAATTCTCGGGTTCATAAGCAGCTCAAACTTCAAAGTCTTACTTATTTAAATGAATATTCCAATTTTTTTAATTTTATAAAAAAATAAAATCTCCTCTTTGTCCAAAGTAAAAGAAAAATATAAAGACTTAAAAATTTCAAGAAGTTACTAGCTACATAAAGAATAGGTAAATTTTACATAGTAGCCTTCATTGTTATAATTCAGTTCCTTTTTGATATTGGTACTTTAGCCTCTGAGCCTATATCAAATATAGTAAAAAATAAATCCATGAAGAGTTTTTTTAAAAATTTCAAGAAGACCTTTTCTACACAAAGCAGATAAGGTACAGGGGTAGACAAAAGTAGGTAATTTATCAGCCATAATTACCTAAAAGATAAATCATAAGCAAGGATACAAAATAATAACAATAAGACAAATAATAAAAATAAATACAATAATTAATAAATAATATAAGAATAAACTCTGTTTTGTGTGCTCAGAACTGTAAACCTACATTTGCCCACCCCATTTGGTATTTCAAAATTTAAGAAGTACATTCACTGGGAACTGAGTTACAACAAACTCTCCCATCCCACAACTCCCCGAAAAATGTTAAAATTATATGGACTAGCTAAAGTAGTCATGTTATATTGGAGGATGGCAAGAGAAGTGTACATGAATAGCTCAAATGGGGCATATTAAGAGTAACTTTTATAAAACTTGAGTTTATTTAAAACCTTGCACTGTTCTTTAAAGACTAGAATTTATAAATATTACAGAACTAACCATTAGTCCCAGGAGTAGGAATTATTCTGTATTTTATTATCCACCCTTTTTTATTACTTGGAGTTTTTAATGTCCTCTGGAGTTTTTAATAGTATCTCTGGAAGTCTGAGATACTGTTTGAATCTATGGAACAAAGTAAAGCTATTTAACCTATGAGGAACTAAATCTTGGCCTTGTCCAGGAATTATGACAGCCAGGCTCACAAGACATAAAACTGTGCCTAATATCAAGCGATCTTCATCAATCTCCAATTACTGGACAGAAGAGCGGATATGATTTACAACACTGAGCCAAGCCAAACCATATGTTGTTGGAAAGCACAAAAGAAAAGGGGAAAAAAATTCTCAGGTGATTGAGATACCCCACTTGTATTTTAAGAAATACAAAAACAGCCCTAACCGGTTTGGCTCAGTGGATAGAGCAACGGCCTGCAGACTGAAGGGTCCCAGGTTCGATTCTGATCAAGGGCATGTACCTTGGTTGTGGGCACATCCCAGTAGGTGGTGTGCAGGAAGCAGCTGATCGATGTTTCTCTCTCATCGATGTTTCTAACTCTCTCTCCCTCTCCCTTCCTCTCTGTAAAAAATCAATAAAATATATTTTTTAAAAACAGAAGAAGAAGTTTGAGAAAATGGTGAAAAAGAAAAAGTGAGAAGCTAAAAAGCAGAAAATTTGTGGTATAACTTAAATATTTGCATTCTTATGGGAGAAAACAGAGTGTTTGAAATAAAAGGATGCATCAACAGGATATAATTGACACTTATAGACTAATTCATCCAACAACAGCAGAATACAATTTCTCAAGTTCACATGCAACCTTCACCAAGACAGACCACATTGTGAGCCATAAAAAATATTTAATTTAAAAGGATAGAAATCATATAAAATTACACTAGAAAGCAGTAACACAAAGATAGCTGAGAAATCTCCAAATAGTTTGAGATTAAACAACATGGTACTAAATAACACATGGGTCAAAGAAAACATCGGAAAAATTATTAAAAACACCAGTTATCTCTCATGAACATAGATGAAAATATCCTTTAAAGATATTAGCAAATCAAATACAATAATGTATAGAAAGAATTATATACCATAATCAGTGGGATTTATGGTTCAACAACCATAAACTGATTATAATAATCCCACATCAACAAGCTAAAGAAAAATCATATGATCATAGTAAGAGAATATAGGTCAATAGGAAAAACGAAAAATAGGAGCATTTTTTAAAATGGTTTTGAGTTCTGATAAACATTTTTCTTAAACTAATCAAATTTGTGAATGTTTACCTTCATGGTATCTACCTCTGGTAACATAATTACACACAGATAGTTATATTTCCTTTATATGCCATTACACTTTCATTTTTACTCTGACATCTCTAATCCCTATTAATCGAACAATAGAAAATCTCCAAAATTCTGGACAACAAAGAAAAAATACCTTATAAAACTGTAATCTTAAATCCAGAACAAATGTAGTCATTCAAAACCTTCCAATGGCTTCCTAACACATTCACAATAAAACCCAAACTCCTGTGAGGCCCCAAATAATCTCACCCTGTGTTAATGTCACCAATCTCTGCCTTCATTTACCTTCTTGCTCTCCAAGCAGGCCAAGCTTATTGCTACCTAATGTCTTTGCAACCCCTGCTGTTCTCTCAGATTAGTATACTCCTTTCCCAAATCTTTGCATGGCTAATTTCACTAAGTTCTCTACTCAAACATTAGCTCCTCTGAGTGACCTGCCCTGAATACTCCACCTAAAATACTTGGCCCATTGCCCCATATTCCATCCTCCTCGGCCATCATCGTAGTCCCTCATGCTGTTTTAGTGTTTCTTGTAGCATTTTCCCTTGCCTGACAGTATAGTACATATTTCCCCATGAATTTCCTATCTCCCCCACTAGAACGTAAGCTTCATGAGAATAAGGGCTTTCTCTGCCTTAATCAGCACATTCAGCAGTTAGTATATGTTGACTTAAAAAAGCTACTTACCGTTGTCAGAACACGCATAATTGTGTCTATATGCCACCGTTTGGAAGGTGCATACCTAAAAAAATAATGGCACCAGGTGAAGAAATTGGAACCTGTAAATTATACTGTGCTCAGTGACTTTCAAAAATCCTGCCTATTATCATAAGTGATTATATTTGGGGACATTTCACCTTCAAATCTAGCAGCAATACCCATTTCCCAGGGTGATGAAATGGCACACTGTCAAACTCAGATGGTCTACTCTACATAGTATTGCAATAGGAGTTGCTGAGCTAAGAAAAGAGACTCGTCTGAGAAAAACAAAGTCAGATCAAGAGATGATAGAGAAGAATGAAGAAAAGCGACTGTTCCCAGACCCAGACAACACCAGGACTAGGAACTTGGTCCCTTAAATTCACAGTGGAAAGTATAGAAATAATCGTACAACCAAAATCTTTAGGTACTTCTTCCTAAAAGTTTTACACTCAACCACAATTTAGATGCTGAAACATCTATATCCTCATAAAGAGGGCATCATGGATGAGAGGTTAAAGAACAGGTTATAGGAGGATTATAAATCCCAGGTTTTATAAAAGAGGGATTTTTGGAGGGGGGAGGGGTCTTAGTATACTTAAATGCTGGCTATCATGGCCTCCTCAAAGCTAATTTCTAATTGGGAGCTTGAAATAAATGTTACATGTTTTAAACATGTTTACAACATTCTTCTCATCTTTTAAAAATGCTTTTTAAAATTCCAAGCATCTTTTATTAATGAAGGTAAAAATCAAATCTTACTTTTCTGCAGCAAGAAAGATTCCAGATGCACAGTCTGCTTTAAATTCTGGCTCACAGGAATCCAGAAAATAAAGTAACTCCTTCATCATGCCTCGGATATTATTTCCATTTACCAGGGCAAAACTCAATTCCATTGCACGCCTTGCAGGGGAGAAATTACAAAACAAAACAAAAAAGAAACCAGTTATAGTTACTGTGGGAATGAAACAAAGACCCAGAGGTTTTCTCTCCGAACACCAAGCACTGGCGGATGTGCTCATGTTCTTGCATGATCCTGTGATCCAATCTTTGCACACAGGATAACAAAAGTTATCAAAGTTAGTTTTTCTATTTTGAATCTTCATCCAACACTTTCTTCAACACTAAGAGAGACACAACTGATCAAAAATGTAGTTTGGGTTCAATATTCTATTCTATAAAGCTGAAATTTAGAATACTTAAAAGGCTCAAAAAGAGTCAACAAAATTATTACCCAAAGATATCTCTCTGCATTTATTCCTTAAAAATGTAATATATAAAGTCATCATACTCTTTTATTACACTCACTTCTGTCCAAAGATGATGTAACACAGTTTATATCGAGGTATGTGGGAAATGTTCATAAACACAAACCTTGAGGGCATTACACTAAGTGCAGTAAGTCAGACCAAGAAAGATAAATACTGCAGGATATCGCTTAAATGTGGAAGCAAAAAACACACAGAAATAGAGACTAGAACAGTATTTACCAGGGCCAAGGGGGTGGGGAGTAGAAGAGATGTTGGTCAGAGGGTACAACTTCCAATTATAAGATGATTAAGTTCTAGGGATCTAATTGTACAGCAGAGTGGTTAAAGTTAGTAACACTGTATTATATACCTGAAATCTGCTAAGAGAATAGATCTTAAATGTTCTTACCACACACAAAATATACAGTAATTATGTAATACTAGAGGCCCAGTGCACAGATATTGGCACCAGTGGGGTCTCTTGGCCTGGCCTGCAGAAATCGGGCCAAAACTGGCTCTCCGACATCCCCTGAGGGGTCCTGGATTGCAAGAGGGTGCAGGCCAGGCTGAGGGACCCCACCGGTGCACAATCAGGGCCGTGAAGGGACCAGGGGAGGGCTCCAGGGCATGTCTGGCCCATCTCGCCCAGTCCCCATCGGCCGGACCTCAGCAGCAAGCTAACCTACTGGTTGGAGCATCTGCTCCCTGGTGGTCAGTGAGCGTCAGAGCAACTGGTGGAATGGTTGAACGAATGAATGGTCGGATACTTAGCATATTGGGCTTTTATTATATAGGATGATGCAGTGTGTTAGCTAATGCTATGATGATAACTGTTTTGCAATATATGACTGTGTTAAATCAATGCATTGCACACCTTAAATTTACAGAATGTTTTATGTCAATTATATCTCAATAAAGCTGGGGGGAAAAACTGAAAGAGAGAATGAGGGCCATGAAAAGGAAAAAAGGGCATGTGCTATGAGGGCAAATAAAAGTTTTTTATAACTGCCTATCAAATTTGCTAACCAAGGCAAAATGGAAATGTTTAACATAAAAGTTATAAGGTTACTATATACACCTTTTCATATTTGGTCAATAACATCAAACATGGTATACAGATTGACTTTCAAAAATATTCATTTACTAAGTAGAAAGTACTGTCATCTTAGCTAATTTATAAGCAATAAAAAAATCAATCCTTATAGAAATACAGTAACAGATAATTCTCATATAATGCTTAGATACTTTATTTATATTAATCCAGTTAATCCTGCATAATCCTAGAAAATGGGTTCTATTGTATGGGAATTTTACATATGGGACAACTGAAGCACTAAAAGGTTAAGTAACTAGACCACATCTACTACAGGCAGAGGCAGGATTCAAAATAAGGCAGTCTGGTAGTCAAGGAGATACAAATTTTACTTTTGAAATGCACAGGCCAGTAACAAGCTAGAGAAAAACAAAACAAAATAGGAGTCAGAAGGCCTGATTTCTATTCCCAGGTCTGCCTCTGTACAAGCGGTACAGTTTAGAGTAAGTCAGTTGATTCCTTTGGGGACTGTGTTTTCACTTATCTGTTAATTGAGAATAGAAGTAATTGCCTAGTCTCACTGGCTTGCTCAGAGAACTGAGAGGGCGTTCATAGATTGTTTACTTTGCAAGGCACTATGTGAAAGTTGTTATAGCTGAGTCAAGATCTTATCTTTAGATTGTCCAAGCATTTAGTACGTGTTCTCCACAAACAAAAGGAACTCAATAGCAATAAATGATTGTTAAAAAAAAAAAATGTTTGTTATGTGAATGGTTTCAGAGATCATTTCAAATCTAATTTCTTCTGGATTTGAACATACAACTACAACTAAACGTTCACTGGACCAACTATAGCTAGGTTTTACAAACATCTATAATCCTTCTAAGAGGAGAACCAGTAGAGCTACTCCATGGAGAAAAAAATGTAAGCCGTTAGAAAGTGCTATCTACCTGCTTCCGAATATCATTCCTAGATGCACTGTTCTAAAAAACACAGCTGCCTCTAGTATCTTGGGGCATAAGTACTGTGAGAAAAAGTGTGCTGTCAGCAGTTTGAGTTTCAGCATCGTGATAAAACACTTAGCCGATGGATCACTCTGTATTTTCATCCTCCAACACACAAAGCACAGTACTTCTGTTAAGTAACCTTTTGCCAAGCTTATCTCTTCATTGGTTTTATTTATCAAAGAACCAAGGACAACTTCATTGTGCACTGAAGTCTTCCTTTTTGGCCTCCTTCATTGACCTAACCCCTTCTCCCTGCCAATCCTTTCTAAAAAAAGGATTTACTCTGCAGAAAATTCATCTATGAAAATGAGGACAATACATAAAGGTCAACATTCTCACTTCCAAAACTATTACAAAGTTAGCAGGTGGGGTGGAGGCAAAGAACTATCAATAATCTGTTACCGTTTTATTGAGACATCCAAATCTTTTAGACAGTCCACAATGGTGCTTCTGTGCCTCTGCACTGCATTATGATCTGTCTGCACAGTCTTCAACAAGGATGTCAGAGCTACATATCTGCATGAAACAAAGTTGCAGTTGAACAGAATTAAAATGTAAAATTCAGGGTGGTTTTTTTCTGCCTAAAATAATGACAAAAAATGTCTAAAGACTAAGGGAAAGCACATATTTTAAACATTTAAAAGAAAGACAATAACTATAATGGTAACATTTTAAAGGCATAGAAGACACATTAAGGTAATGACAACCAGAAGAAGCCTTGGATTTAGAATATTTGCATTCATGGTCAGGTCTAAAAGTGATTGACTCAATTATTTCAAGTTCTTCCAAATAGTACAACAAAATAAGCATATAGTATGCCTTTTCGGGCCTTAGCCCCAAAATGCCAAAGGAAATTATTTCAATTTTACCATTTGTATTTACTCTGCTTTTGAGACTCGTACCAAATTTTGAGAATAACATCCAAGTATTAAAAATTATTCTGGAAGGAGGAGATAATTCAGGATACCACAATAATTATTTCCACATTTTTTTTCAAGCTTAACATGGTAAGAAAAATGTTTTTCTCCTGATTAAAAGAGGGAAAAAGGCAAACTACAAATAAAAGATAATACTAATAAATTCATCTACTTTAAGTCGTCAGCCTGGCCAGTGTGGCTCAGTTGGTTGGGTGTAGTCCTGTGTACCAAAAGGTTGCTGGCTCAATTCCCAGTCAGGGCACATGCTCAGGTTGCATCCCCAGAAGGGGGCATGCAGGAGGCAGCTCATCAATGTTTCACTCTCGCATTGATGTTTCTCTCTCTCCCTCTCCTTCCCTCTCTCTAAAAATCAATTTAAAAATCTTAAAAACAAAACAAAACAAAACAAAAAAAAACACCACACAAACTAAATGGAATGGCCAAACACGTTCCATATTGTGTCAGTAAACTACAGGCTACCTGCAAATATCCAGTCCTCTGCTGTCTGGTTTTGTAAATAAATTTTTATCAGAACAGCAACATTCATCATTTATATGATCTATGACTGTTTTCATGCCAACAGGCAGAGCTGGGTAATTGCCACAGAGACCAAAGGCCCACAGAGCCTAAAAGATTGACCATTTGGTCCTTCACAGAAAAAGGTAATGACTACTGATTTATAGTATAAAGATATGTAAAAATTAAACCAGAGGCAAATCCTCAAATTCTTTACAAAACAGTAGTTTTAAGACTAGACTAAAACAGAAGTCCTGAGTTTCCTCAGCTGAAGTTCTAGATAAGTCACTTAATACATGTGTGATCTTGAGCAAGGTTACTCTTGAAAACAGACTTTATAATAACAAAATATAAGACATTTTTCAATTGCTTTACCTAATATTCTTGTCATTGTTCAATAAGAAACGACCCAGGATATTTATGGCTAGGACCTAAAGAAAAATAGCATAGGTTAAAAATCTAGAAAAATTAAAGATTTCTATTGTTTAAGGATCACTTCTGGCCTCTGTTGAGTGAAACTATTTATAGGCGGTAGTTGGTATTTTATGGCCTGGAAAGACCAGAAAGTTCATAAGATAAATGATGGTGTTTGTTGCACAACAATGTGAATGTACTTAATGCCACTGAACTACAGACTTAAAAATTGTTAAAATGGTAAATTTTATGCTATATTCTAGCATTATTTTTTTTTAATGAAGATGATCTCTATACATGAATATGGACTAGTTTCAATATAACATTAAGTGAAAAAAGTAAAGTGCAGAACGATATACATGATATGCTACCATTTTGTTTGAAAGGTGGGAAGAGGAAAAGAACTAACCTAAGTTATTTTGGTTAATGTAATCTAAAAAGAACTATACACAAATATTGTATTATAGTAAGTTTATTTCTTATAAGACTATGGACAAGTTATTCTTTTATTAATAAATGATTGAAAGAATGAATAAAATCATGAGGGAAAATTCTTCCTTACAGAAGAATTTCAATTATTTAATGAGGACAAAATGAGGGAAAACAGGAAAGTATCATTAGATTCACCACCCTAACAACTGCTGCAGACAAGATCTTCTGATGAATAAAATTGATGGGCAAAAGTCTGAGGAGAACAAGATATCTGCATAGTCTTAAAGCATCTCCCCCAAAATATTACAAAGGGGAAAATTACAAAGCGAAAAATAACTTTACAGTGGACAGACACAGCAGACACCACCTTAACCAATGATCAAGTTAATATCACCAGTAGCGAGACAAATAGATATAGCATGTACCTCCTGATATATTAAGAAAGGCACATCACTTCTATGATAGTCTTGCCAAAAAAACATAACCTCAATCTAATTATGATAAAGTATCAGAGAGAGCCAAATTGGAGGACGTTCTAAAAAGTAACTGATCAGCCCAGCCAGCGTAGCTCAGTAGTTGAGCATTGATCTATGAACCAGGAGGTCAGGGTTCGATTCCCAGTCAGGGCACAAGCCTGGGTTGCAGGCTCGATCCCCAGTGGGGGGTATGCAAGAGGCAGCCGATCAATGATTCTCTCTTATCGCTGATGTTTCTACCTCTCTCTCCCTGTCCCTTCCTCCCTGAAATCAATAAAAATATATTTTAAAAATAAAAAGTGATCAGTGCTCTTCAAAGTGTCAAAGTCATGAAAGAAAAGGAGAGATAGAGGAACTGTCACAGACTGGCGGAGACTAAGGAGATGTGACAATGAAATGCAAAGTGGAATCATAGATTAGCTCCTGGAACAGGAAAAGGACATTAGTAAGAAAATTGGTGAAATCTAAATAAAGTCTATAATTTAGTTAATGGCATGGTACCGATATTAATTTCTTAGTTTTGATAACTACATATAGTTACGCAAGATGTTACAGGACAGAAAGCTAAGTGAAGGGTGTACAGAAACTCAACTGTTTCTGTAAGACTAAATTATTTCAAGTAAAAAGATTTTAAAAGTGGGGAAGAGAAGAAATACACATATACAAACACATTTAAATAAAAACATCTCTGAAAAAATACATTATAAAATGGTAACAGTACTTCCCACTAGTAGAATTTAGAGTCAACACGTGAAAGCTACAGGCAGATGTTTTCTTCCCTACATATCTTCTGTAATGTTTGAATTGTTTTATTTTATGTGTTTATTTCTATATAAAAGCAAATATTTAAGACATTCTTTCCAAAAGTTAATTTTCAAATGGAATTCATTTCCAAAGTGCTAAATCCAAATCAATTATTCTAAATGAAATGTTTAGGGAGAAGAAAATATTTTAAAAGACTTACTCGCAGTCCACTCTCTGACTTAATATCCATGATAGTCAAAACCGTTTCATAAAGAATAGCATTTCCTACATTTTTACTAGTCTCTGTATTAGTGGCAACCTGAAAAGACACAGAGGGCAGTACACAATGATAAAACAATGCTTCCAAAAAATATCCAGAAGTAACAAGAGACATTTTGTGATTGATTATAGTCACCAATGAGAAAACACAAATAAAAACTGCTCCCTATAAACACAATCATTCTACTCCCTGCTATACTAAGATGAACATTTAGTATAAATATAATGCAAGTTTGGTCTACTCACCTGTGCTAATATATCATTCATAGCTTCACTTGAGTCATCATCATTTCGTCCTAAAATTCTTAATAACCGTAAAATTCGTACCTAATGTGCAAAATATGAGAAATGTCAACAAATTATGTCTGGAACAAAGGAACTTTTTGCTTGGTATGAAATTCAAGTATCTTAAATTAAGTCTAAGATCTCCCTTAGAAATGGTCAAAATTCAAACAGAAGAATTTTAAACATTATCTCTAGAGACATGACATGTGTTTCTGTGTCTTAATGAAGTTATTAGACAACCACACTGTGCCACTCCACAGCTAAAGGATGCCACCACCTGCAGAGCTGCATTACAGGCTTACCATGAAGACACTGAGGTTCAGTTCCAGACCACAGCAATAAAGTGAGTATTGCAATAAAGTGAGTGGTAACCTTTTCGCTAGTGGAGGGTCCTATTTTCAATTTGTAAAAAATAAAATGCAACATCTGCAAAGTGCAATAAAGCAAAGCACAATAAAACAAGTATGCCTGTATACTGATATCTCTATGTAGTACATAATTTTGATTATTACAACTATAATTTCATTCTATTAATCTAATAAAATACAGACTTGTGTAACTATTCATTTATTAACTATCAAATTTCTACCTGACACAAACTTAAAAGGGAGGAAATGCTCTATTCAAAGCAATTAAACTCAAACCATATATTCAAAGCTTTCTTTCAAGCTCACCTGCAAAAAGGGGTCACTGATACCAGAAACATCATGTTCTGGTGAATATCCGGACATGATGAGGTTCTTTAGAATACGAACTAATTGGGGCACAAGCTGCAGGGAAGAAAGATGCATCAAAAAACAGTGAACATCAAAGACTTTCTCATGAATAGGCAGGTAATTTGGCTTAGAAAAAGGGTACAAGGGTCTTAGTCCAAGCAAATTCTATTGATACAATATACTAGTATATTGTTAGTGTTGGTTAAATACAACTTAGGAGGCTCTAGTCAGTTTGGCTCAGTGGAAAGAGCGTCGGCCTGCGGACTGAAGGGTCCCAGGTTCGATTCCAGTCAAGGGCACATGCCTGGGTTGCGGGCTCAGTCCCCAGTAGGAGGCGTGCAGGAGGCAGCCAATCAATGATTCTCTCTCATCATTGATGTTTCTATCCCTCTCCCTTCCTCTCTGAAATCAATAAAATTTTATATATATATAATCTTTCTTAGGAGTTCGATTCCCAAGGGCACATGCCTGGGTTGCGGGCTCAGTCCCCAGTAGGAGGCGTGCAGGAGGCAGCCAATCAATGATTCTCTCTCATCATTGATGTTTCTATCCCTCTCCCTTCCTCTCTGAAATCAATAAAATTTTATATATATATAATCTTTCTTAGGAGTATTT